TTTTCAAATATGTGTCAATAGTATGAATTATCCTCTAAAAATATTTTATCTCTACCCTGTGAGTCTTATGGGTATCTACTGCTAGGTTAGTGGTAGAGGACTGGCTTTTAGCTTTCTAAGCTAGGGTGTGTTAGAAAGCACAGATGTGGCCCAGTCACAGCAGAAAAGAGAGTGAGACAGCAACATAGAAGTAAGGCAAAGAAAATACTGAAAACTGTTGTCTCGATTTGAAAAGACAGGTGTCTGGTAAGGAAGGAAGGAGTCTCTCCTGAAATGGAAAATGTAAACCCCCTCCCTCCAAATTGTTATAATTCTGAAATTGTTATAATTTTGAAATTAAGGACCTCTCAGGCAAAAACATAGGAGCAGGAATAACAATTCTTTATTAAGGAAGAAAATTGTTTTTTAAATGAAATAAACAATGCAGTAATACAAAATAACACTGAAAGAGTCAGAATACAATCTGACACCCTGTTGGTCAGCGTGTTGGTAGCAGTTCAATTGAAATGGTGGCTGCAGTCCTCCTGGAGTGGCAGGTGTGGTTCTGTTGAAGCAGTGATCCTGTAGAAGGGTGTAGTCTTCCTCTGAAAATCCAGTACTGGTGCAGACAGGTCTGGTCTTCCTCTGGGAATCCAGTGAGAAAGGGCTGCTCCTCTGGAATCCAGTGGAAAAGGCTGGCTGTGGTCTTCCAAATCTCTGATTATATCCAGGCAGGAATGTTTGGCTTCTCCCTCTGGATGGAGCTCTCACAATGGGATGATGTAGTTTTTCTCAGTAATTCAGAGAGATTCAATGTCCCATTAACAGAAGATATCTCCCTGGAGGGAGGATGGGTTGTGGAAGTGATAAAGAAATCTGCCCAATTAACAGAAGATAACGGCCCCACCTCTAACAGATAGGAATAGAATACCCCGATTTCCAACCTCAGACAACTGTGCAAAGGTCCCTTAACTGTTTTTATGTAAGAGTTACAACTAGAGGTGGATATTTATACCTTCACCTGCTGTGAGGTACAGGATTAAGTTTTGTGTACTGCTGGATGCAGCTAATGAGACAGGCTGTTCTGGTTCTCTGACTGCAGGTATTTTTCCTGTTCACATGTTTGCCAGTTAAAATGCTGAGTTGCATAACTCACTTTATTTTGACTTACTGTTTGTATTTTGGGTTTTTTTTCTTTTTTTAAAGTCTAGCCATTTTACAGTTTGCTACTTTAGAAAGTGTTGGGCTATTTTCTATAAAAAACAAATCAGTTTCAACTTTCTTACAATGTATTTTATCATGGAAAGTGAGAACATACATAAAATATTTTAAGTCAGACAGTTTTCATTAGAAGTATTAGATTTATATTCCTTCTTGGTTTCACAGAGTTGAAACCTACCATTTTTCAGACCATGAAAATGTGAAAATTCTATTTTCTGAGGCTATTCAGAGAAGAGGTGATTTAAACTTGGTGCATTGAGTGCTGTTTGAAACAAGGTTTTAACACTAAGAAGAAAATTCATGTTTAAAGAGATCAGATTATATTATATTATGATACCCTTGTAACTAGTGATACTTAAAATTTTGTTTGTATTTCTAATATACTTTACAGCATCTGAAAATAGAAGAGGATTTGAGTAAATCAAAATAAATAAATTCTTCTCAATAGTTTCTTGAATGCTGAATAAAATTGCTACTTAACTTTTTCTTGGGTAGCCTTTTTTCAATTATATCTGTTTTTGCTTCTACTCCCCTTTTTCCACTGACTGTAATTTTCATTATCAGTAGTAGAGGAGAGAGTATTTTCTCCTGTAGTGAGTCATGCAACTGCTAATTTCAGATGCTGTTCTGAGATTCTCCTAGGAGTTTATCCAGTCTTCCCTTTTGTGGGGCAGTGTATACTTACTCATTTTCAAAGCAGTTTTTTTGTTTTTTAATTGAGGTTTATTTTAAATTTTTACTTATCAATTTTTTTATTATTCTTTTTTTAACTCTAAACAATATAAAAACTCCTTAAAATCACTAATAAACATTCTTAGTGTGACTGCAACTTATAATGTGTATTTCTGTTCTTTTATCTAGCATCCAAGATGTATCATTGTAAGGCCAGAGTAAATCCTAGTCACTGGAAGACTCACTGTTCTTCCCCTTGACACAAAGTATAGAGGTTTTGTTGGGATTTTTTTATGTTTTGGAAAGTTGTTTTATTAAGAAATACCTGAGATAAAGGTAGCCTGGCATAAAAACCTAGGCTAGAAATGGCTATCAGTTTGAATATTTCTAATAGTTGCCCATTGCATATTTCTCAGTTCATTGTAGGCGTTTTCTTCTGAATGGTGGTGGCAGTTACTACGGGACAAAAAGACTTCTACATAGGAAGTTTGATTGCTTGTTTTTATAGAAGCACTAATAAACCTAAAAAGTGCATGAATGCTGACTCTAGTAAAAATTACACTGCATTTGGGGAGGGCATCCTGGGTGCTTATCTCTGGATTTATACAGAACTGCTTTTGGAGCACCATCCTCATCACACATTGAGCAGAATATGTGAATCTGGACACCCTCAGACTCACAACTTCTGATCTCAACAGGGTCTAGGTGGGAGCTGGATGTTTCATGTCTCAAAGTGCCTGTCCAAGAAATATTTTCAAACATTAAAGTTGTAGGTTCTGGGTATCTGAAGGTTAAAGAAGAGAAAACTGCTCAGTGAGTTTAATGCACTTCAAGGATGTGAAAGAGCTATTTTGAGTCTCAGCTCTGGATACCTAAAGGTGTGGCGTCTGGGTACAATACATTGTATTAAACTTTAAAAGCATGCTGATATGTTACTTACTCAAAGACTTCACCTGTAGGATTATAAGATAATTTTCATACAGATTGGCACAAATAAAAGAACATTATCCAGAAAAAGCTTTTCTGTTCATTAAAGGTACATTGTGCTTTTTTACTTTGTTTTCCAACCGTTCACTTGAACCATTCACACTGTATTGACCTGTTCTGAGCCTTGAGGGAGACTGTTAAAGTCTGTAACATGAACCCACAGTGGTGTCAGATATTAACAAGTGTTCTCTGCCCTGCTGATGCTGAACGTTGATCCACCTCAGGCATCAAGAAACTGAGAGAGCTAATTTGTAATTGTTGCCTTTCCTGTTCTCTCGGATGGTTGGGTAAGCAGGCTGAAATGTCAGTCCTCTAGCTATTTGACTTTATATAGGCACTCCTATCACCCTCATCTTTGCAGTAGTAGGATCACACCCAGTAGCATACTAATCAATGTGACTAACATCTGTCTCCTGGGGTGCATTGTTTCTCTCATCCTGTCCCCTAAAGCAAGATTGTGTATTTAGCTATATAATGTTAAATATATCACTGTCATCTGCAGGGATGTTTTTAGCTGTACTTTTTGCTATGAGTTCATACTAATGCAGACAAGTCAAAATGGTGCACTACCACCCAAAATGGAAGATGATGGGGTTTGTGTGGACTTCAGGTTCTGGGAGAGGCCATTCCCAGTTAGAAAACAGACACTCCCTTCTGCCCAGAAAGGCTTTGCCTTACTATGTGGTGACAGTGAAGTCACCGTGCAGAGTCCTGTCCTTCCTTAGGACTTAGAGCACCACAGGGATGAAACCTCCCACCTGGAATCCACACTTACCCTCACTGCTGGGTGGCCCATTTGAACAGGCAAATTTATTATGCTTGACCTAAGGAAACAACTGAATGCTTCCTCCATACAATATTTTCTTGAATTTAGGAATGCCAGTGAAGTCTTATTTAATACCACTGGGGAGTTTAATTAGCAGAAATAATGAAGTACCTAGCTAACTGTATTTTAAGTAGTTATGATAGTGTATTAGAGTGGTTGTTTATTGGACTGGTGTTATTTTGGAGCTGCCTCATGCTGTCCATTCTCTCCCAACCTGACTAAATTTTGCATAGCTTGCGGGAGGAAAAATTGCCTTTTGCTGTAATTAATATCAAGAAAGTTTTTTAAGTCCACTCTTTTCTTTAGCATTTCCCTTAACAGCAGGGTTTTCTTTAGACAATGAAATGTTTCATTGCAATTTAACTACAAATACTGGCTTCCAAAAATCACAGAGAAATTTTTAAAAAAGGAGTTTCCATACATAATTTCTTACCTACTCTGTTGTCCGGTCATATGAAAAGAGCATTTCAAAAGTCATCCCTTGGATTATTTATTTATGTCTGTTTGTTTGTTTGTTTGTTTGTTTGTTTGTTTATTGTGTGGTTCCTGAGCATTCTTTAGTTCAGAGACAGCTACAGTGGATCACAGTTACCCGTGACTCTTTCAGTGGAAAATTCAGGCATTGGATGAGCTGAACCACCTTCTGCAGTCACTTGTGTTTCTCTGTCTTAGGTGAACTGAGCGTATGTCTGAGCTCTTCAGCGAGAACCTTAAGTTAGATTGGAGGAACCTGTACTAAAGTGTTGGTTAATTTGTCACAGAAAAGAGTAAGATGCTCATTGAAAGAAAACAAAGGGCTTACTCTGCATTATTTTTAAAAGTCATATGCCATTATTGTTTCTCATAGGTTGCTATGTTTTGTTTTGTTATTTTTCATTTTTTAATAGACTGAATATTAAGATTTTATCACAACAGCTTTCTTAATGTAGAATAGTCTATATCTTTGAGCTATCATTTGTTCATTTCACCTGTAGGTATTTATAGAACCATTTGTGTAACAAACTGCTCGGAAATTGTTGGTTTTATTATTCATTCATCAGTATTCCACACAGATCCCACTGAAGCACTGTGGTTTGGACAATGCACCACAGTTTATCAGTGAACAAGCTGAGTTCTTAAATGAGTGGCTGATTTCTTTATTCTTGCAATGTACAGGTTGCTCTTCACGATTCGCAATTCTCTTCAGTCAGCTGCATGTTTCACATTATCGTGGGCAAACATGACATGCACATGTTGATGCAATTTATTTTTACAGCTTGATAACACGCTTTGATTTATCACTCTTCTAAGCTGTTGTGTTCTGTTTTTCCCTTAGGGATACGATGATGGATATGGGGGTGAATATGATGATCCAAGCTATGAGGCATATGATAACAGTTATGCCACCCAAACGCAAAGGTAAGCATTTGTGCTTTTACATCATTTCTCCTAAGTACACTTTTTTTTTATCTTAGTTTTTCATGTAAATTTCCTGGTTTATTTTCCACATTAAATTTTACAAAAATCTCTGAGTACTTTAGAAGTAAAAAGTAATTATGACAGTCCAAATTTATATACAGAGATGAAGTAAAACTGTAAGGAACTATGCTTTTAAAATTGATGCAAATTATGTATATTTTTTTAACAAGTGATTACATCATTTTCTTATTTGATGTTATTTGTCCCTTTTTTTTACCTTTTACTGATGATAAGTTGTGAAGGATATCTCATACTTATGACTTTTATAATGTTTTGAGAGAAACCAGAAGTAAATTAAAAAAATATTTGTGATGGTAGCCTGTTTCTGGTTGGCATCCACAATCAAGGTAGACTATAGAAGGAAATTACATGCCAGAAGTAAGGCTGAAACTATTTGTGTTCAACCAGTTATCTTCTAAGCAGCTCTCAGAATTTTTAAGTTTGGAAAATTATTTTTGTCCTTGTGATGTGGAATAGTAGGAAAAAGCTGCATTCACATCTTATATTGATTTGTGTGAATTATCCCTTTTTTATATACATACACCTCACACCTCCATTAATTTGACAGTCAGTGCATGTTTATTAAATATGGAATGGCATCTTTTTCACATTTAAGCTAAAGGAAAACAGGGTCTTTCTACCAGTTATTCAGAAAGTGGTGTTATGCATTACTGAAAGTACTTGTAAGGTTGTGGAAAGGCAAATGAAATTTTAACAAGAAAAGACACAGATTTTAACTAAGTTAACGTGTTTCTCACTGAGCAAGAAAGTGATGTATACATACTGAGTACTACGCTCCAAAGGCCAGAGGACCTTAAACTTGCTTTTTTGTTTAGCCATATTTTTCACTGAATACTTTGCTGATGTAAATGCCTTTCAGAATTACATTGAGCTCCAGAACTGCTGTAGTGAGTGATACTTCAGTGGATAAAAAATATTTTATAAGTATTTTTATATCCAGCGAAGTATATTTAAAAGGATTTGTCATACCAAAACATGAACCCCATCAAGTATACTTTAACACTTTCAAGTAATTATACTTTAGTAGCTGCACCCATCATGTCATTGTGTAGGTAGGTATTCTTGTCAAATGTACTTCAACTTTTCTTAAAACAATTTGGTTCCTTTTTTGCTGCAAGAGTGAATTGTCACAATTGTGAATTGCTTCTGATGTAAAAACAATAATTAATTGGAAATATCTTGATATGACATTGCTTTATAACATCTGAATTAACCTGTAATTTCTTTGCAAGTTGATGTTTCAGGCAACTAAATGACAAACATATCAACTTTATGAGGAGTGTATTATAATGCAGCTAGAACTAGTAGTGATAATTTGGTACAAGAGAGAAAATTTATAGTCACATAATTTAGTCAATTAAACAGCTATTAGGTTTAGTGATCAAATATGTTTTCTACTAATTGGAGCTACCTCCAGGATACCTAATCCATTTAAAATCTGCAACTAAAATATTTCCTTCTGAAATATATGACAAGACATGTGGTCATACTTACCCATGTTGAGTGGCACTTAATGCCTCAAGTAGCCTATTGATTTCAAAGAGAGCACTTTCAGAGAGAGCTACATGCTTCTTATTTCAAAGATTTAAAGAACAAATGGACCATTAAATACAGAATTTGTATTTCTGCACCTGATTGGCCATTTAGCTTCATAGAAATGCCTGCTTACTGGGCAAAACATAAAAATACAATGCAATACAATGAAAATAGTGTGCCCATAATATTTGATTAGATGTGTTTTTTAAAATGTTTTCTCCAAGTCTCCGATCTTGCTTATTAGTATAGTCCAGTCATAAGAGTCATACCATGTGCACACCTAACAAAGAAGGTAAGTAGTACTGCTCCAAAGTACTTACTCATCTCATCCAGTGTGTCATTTAAAGGGAAAAAAATTAACAAAAACTTGCCAACAATGTCTATGCTCAGCCAGGAAATTATCATTCCTTCCCTCTGCAGGGATTGACTGAAATTCTAAATCATGAGATGAGAAGCAATTGTAGTTAGTGGCTTAATGCAGGGTACCAAGATTTCTGTTCATGTTAAGGGCAGAGTTTCCCATTGCTTTTTATGGCTTATTAGGGACTCAATGTGGAAATCCTTAGAGTGGAACATACTTTTGTCTGACTGTCGGTCTTGCTGTACATGTTGGCCAAGCCTTATTCTCTTAATTGCTTCAAAAAGAACATGTTGGAGTGGATGGTCTGAGCTCAGGCTGACTTTGGTGTGCTTTAGAGCAGAGCTCATAGTAAGTCTCGGTCTTGCTGTACATGTTGGCCAAGCCTTATTCTCTTAATTGCTTCAAAAAGAACATGTTGGAGTGGATGGTCTGAGCTCAGGCTGACTTTGGTGTGCTTTAGAGCAGAGCTCATAGTAAGTCATGCCTTGTTCCCCTGCTCACCCACGCATGGAGTGAAGATAGAGTTTGGGCAGCCTGCCACCAGACCCCTGTTACCCCTGCCTTTGTCTTCCATACCTTGTATCTACTTCCCATTTGCCAGAGTCTTTCTGACCATATACACTTTGATTAGGGAGCCTTAGTCCTTTGTTGTCCAAGACGTCTGATTTAGAATTTTGGAAACTAAGCTCTTCCAACAGCAGAGAAAATGAGCACAGTATCAACATGCACAGTGCTGCAACATAAGATTATGGTTTAATATTAGAAGCACCACAATTATCAATCCCCAAGACCATTCAGATGCTGTACTTCAGTGCACAATTATCTAAAAGTTTGTACTAAAGTCAGGCATGGTGTTGCAGGTCCAACAATACACTTGGTATATAGGTCCTTCTCTAATGGACTTCTCTAATGAACTTCTCCAGACAGAAAGCTCTGTCTGTCCTTCATGACAGCAGTCTGATTTGTAGGCTGAAACTAGGGGGATGGGGTCACCTGTGGAAGAGGTCATGACAGAGTCTCAGAATCAGGCTGGAATGAAACCCACAGTAAGTCTGCCTGCCTGAACAAGCTAAGAGGCGTCTCAAGCACACTTTGAAATGGAGCAAAGAAGCAACCTGAAGACAGAGAAAAGCAGGACTCTCACAATGTAAGTGCCACCTGTAACTTATTAAGATGGGGAGGCTTATTTTAGAAATAAGAGGATTATGGGTTATGACAGTCTATATTGCATGGAGGTATGTCTTGCTTTAAATAGCAGAAGATGTATTTGTAAAGCCATTTTCTCTCCTTATGTTCCTGTCCCATAATGACAACTCAGAACCAAGATCAAACCTCAGGACAGATTTAAATTAACTGTCTGTCCTTCCCAGCTGAGTCTGTAAGCATTATTTGCAGGATTCTGTGAAAGGCTACGCATTTTCTGAGGACATTTAGAAACCCTACTCATTTTAGAAATTTTTTTCTTACAGATGTCAAAATATAGTTTTTAAGGTAAATACAATGAATGCAAGAAGAACAAGGAAACAACCATATCAGTGGTCAGGAAAAGACATTGTATCTGACATATTTCCCATGGGCAATAATGCACTGTAATTTGAATTTTTCAATGACCTTGTTTTCCTCTCCCTTCCCCTCCCTTCCATATAATGTGAAGGTGGATCTCATTGATAAGAATATCTGCCTGTGCAGACACACCAAGAGATATTCAGTAGTTGTTAAGTTCATACACTATTCTCTGTGTACTTGAAAAGAAGGCAGAGGACACTCAAAACCTTTCTGCCATCTAGATTTATCTCCCAAAGCTCTAGTCTGGCAAATTTATTTAAAAAAATATAGACATAATATACAAAATGATAGAAGTGTTAATTTCCAACTCAGCTGTTACACAGAAAATGTAGGAGAATCCTATTAGCTTTCAAAATGTAATGCAGTTTTTGATTTTCTAATGCAGGAGCTTTTAAATGTGTTGATCTATCACCACAGGACTCATGGGCTGAGATCGCTAGATCACCAGAAGAAAGGATGCAAAGTTTTGTGAGGAGATGTAGAAGATCAGCCTCTTTGGTTACTCAGAGGTTGTTTGGAATCAGACTGTCCCACATGCAAAGTGTGGTCAGACTTCTCAGCCAAGACCAACAGAATAATCTGGTGAAAATGGATCATTTGGTGATGAATCACGATGGCCAACAGAGCCACCTTCAGCTCTGCTACCACATCTGCAGTCATCTCCACTGGCCTTTGTGTCTCTGCCAGCACCAGCAGTTTCATTTCAAAGATAGTATGTCTCACAACCAAAAAAGATACCAAGGAAGCCAGGGACTGACTGTCCGGTCATGGGATGAACGGGAAGGGTATATTCTCTTTAATTCACTTGTGCCCAACTTATCCAGCATACCTAGTGTAAACACTGGTGCCTAACAGAGGAGTAAAGGAAGACAAGGATTATCTGATGAAGCTTAAAATTTGAGTTTGATATTATTTCCCTGTTCCATGATGCCTGGCATGAGCAGTCATCCATGAATCCATTCTGGTTTTTGTGAACAGGTAGATGGTATATTGGTAATGGCTTTCAGGTCTGCTTGCCTGGCTTTTTATTCTGCCTTTTTTCTGTATAGCTTTTGTTAAAAACATAGTTCAGCAAGAAAATTAGTTGCCGGTGTGTGCTGTTTAAAGAAAGAAGAGCTCATGACTCCCACCTTAGGCTGTAAATAGACTTGTAAATATCAGGAAACCCATAACTTACTGACAAGAAGAATAAATAATTCAGTGATAAAAGACAGATGAAAATAGTGTACAATGTTGCTGTTACAGATTCCATCCCACAGCAGTACAAGCCTTGTGATGGCATGTTGTCATCCTTGCTGTGACTGCAAGAAGACATAGGTAAAAAGCATTTCTCACACCTGTCTGCACCCAGCCTCACTAATAATAATAACAACAGTAACCCAATGTAAGACCTTGAAGCAATTCTTGGCAAAATACTTACTGTTAATCTTGCAAATAAATTATTTAATGCTTTAGGCAGCAGTCCTCTGGGCAGACATTTCATGCTGGTATGCCATCATTTTGGCCAAAGAACTTCTTTTGGTCTGTCAGACTCACACATCAAACCCATCCTGCATCTGCTGAGGAAATAAACAAACTTCTGTTTCTGATTGGAATTGCATATTATAGGCCATGTCATCTCTGAATTTCCCCTCTAAGAGGTTAATGATAGTACAGAATCTAAGTTTTAGCATAAAGAAAGATGGCACTAATATATTTGGAATAAATTCTAAGTAGTTCTTGCAAGATTTGAAGACTGACAACATTGTGTTAGATAACTGCTAAAATGGAATTATCTTAGAGGACTGAAGAAGAAAAAAAGGTGCAGTAACAGAAATTCAAGTTGACTGATACCCTTCACCACATGGAATTGTGTTTAATTCAAAAGGTACAATAATACCTAAAGTTGTGCTGTTATGTGCAAAGTCCAGTTGGGCATCTGTTTCTTAATACTAGGAACAGAAGTAAAAGGACAAAAATGCTGCCTGTGTCCACTATGCTGCTATGGAAAATAGATACTATGACGTATCAATGTAGTTTTACCTATAGCAAAATCTATCTGTTCATCCTCTAATAGGTGCTACATTCTTCTAATTACGCATACCCACAGAAAATTTCACTAGCATATTCAGCCACTGAAGTTGAATATATGACAAGTTATTGACTTTGAAAATAAACTGTTTTCCCTGGTTTCTATTGCAAAGTTCATGTTATCTACTGGAAAGCTTGTGTTTATATCTTCTTTTTTTCTGCAATGTGGGCTGCTAGTAAAGGAGCTTTAGGAATCACTTATTTCTGATCTTATATGCAGGAATACAACATGGACCACAGTTCAGTCTATGTCATTTGTGTGGCTTACAGTCCAATCACATCAGTGCACAGCCATGCTGCAAAATTACTTAGGAATAATATTTTATCCAGTTGTATCTGAAAGAATTATTTGCATCAGCAAGATATATTTGCTTGAGCTCCAATTCATTCTGATTATCCTTGCTTGACCTCCAGATATCAAGGTGCTGTATGTACATCTGCTTCCGAATATGAGTTTCTCAAAGCAGTGGTGCAAGAAAAAAATAACAAACTACTGTATTTGTAAAGACATCAGTATAAGGTTCAGCTGGGTGTACATGTTCTTTGGTGAACTCTATTCAGAAGTCCCACTGTTTTCAGCTACGTGCTTTGTGAAAAATTCCAGCAGATTAGTTGTGAACTATGCATGAATAGTTAAATGGAAGAATTTTGTCCTTAGTTTAAAAACAATGGCTAGACAAGAATGGGAATAATTATTAATTGAATTAGTAGATTATCATACAGTTAAATGTTTTAGTGATATAAGCAGAGTTTTACACACTTCTATCTCACTATCAAAATATTACTATGTAGTAAAATACAGACGCATAAATATAGTAAAGGCTGCAATAGGTATAATAGTTACATTGATTCTTTTCAAACCTAGATATTCTTTATTATTTTTTCTACTAATCTCTCTTTCACATTTTAAGCACTGTGCATTGTATTTATATTTTGTCATATTTCATTTTGGCTATGTGCTTATATCTGCCTCTCCATAAATAATGATTTCCCTGTATTTTATTTCCAATCTGTTTAAATCAATCAAAGCAGGAAGCCTAGAATATGACATTTTATGTATCTTCACAGCAATCTACTTATGGCATTAATCATCAGAAACTGTTTTCAAATGCCACTTCTCATTTATTTGATTCAATGAGCAAAGTTGAGTCAAATTTCACTCCTCTGAACTAGAGAAAAGTTTTTCCTCTAAAATTGTCTAGGATTTCTGAAATGCTGCATCATTCCCTTTGCAAATACAGTTTCTGCATACATTTGGCATTATATTCTGAAATACTTAGTCATAATTCTGTATCTATAGAGAATGACAGTGGAATGTAGAATAGATAAACAGAAGCTGCCACATGAAATTAAATGGCAGATTGGTTTCTATTTCATATTTCACAAAAGGTTCAGAAACCAAAGTCATCTTGCAATTATGTTGGCTCTCCAGTCCTATGCCTGTATAACTTTACTGCTTTCATTGTTTATAATAGTTTAAAATTCATATTTTCAGTAGCACAAAATCAAACATACAAAAATGCTGGAGACAGTTGAATCTAGTTCAACTTCAGGCATGTTGTAAGGTACTAAATAAATCCAGGAGTATGGTAATGGAGATATTATCCTCTGTTAAAGATAGTGGATACAATAAAAATTGAGCTTGCAGAAAAAGGGAGATTTTATCCACTAAAATGCTCACCATATTATTCTATTAGTTCCAAAGAAATATTGCATAAAGGACTATATTTGTGATTTAAGACTGAATCCTGTAAGTTCCTGTATTCAAAAGATTTGTCATCTTCCCTATAGATGCAATGCTCTATTAAGTAAAAATGTTCCAGTAAGTTTCAGATTCCTAGATGGATTCTTTCTTTATTCACACACTTCCACTGTGAGATATTACTTTGTAAGAATTTAATATGTTGTAATTCATGTGAATACAGATCTTGCACACCTCTCTTCCAGGAAGAAGTATACTGCTTTGTGTAAACAGCTTTTCTTTCATTAACTGTGTGTTAAATCCTGCTGGCTCCCTCCCTCATGTAAGAGGGAGAAGCTTTACATAGTCTTACATAAAATAACTGTAGTAACATTAGACTGCATCCTATTACCACAGGAACTGAATAATGATTGTACCAGTTATTGATGTGGGAAGTTAGAAATGCCAAAGATTACTGAATAGAAATTATATAGGGAAAGAAGGAGATAATTTTAGACCAAGAGTACACAGGGTCCATTTGAGGATGTGAAAAAGAAACTTGTCTAAAATATTGAATCCCACCTATAAAATATTAAATCCCACTTCTTGGGGTCCTGGTGAGCTATCCTGGGCATTAGCTTGACTCAAGCATCTTGTCTAAATCTTGTCTATCCCTGACTGGGATATATCTCTAAGGAGTGATAAAAGTTCATTTATCTGCAGCCATGTATAGATGCTGATTGCAAACTGTCAAAGGCTGGGAATCTCTCCTCAGAGAGTTCCAATCCCAAACCATAATATTGGTTCATTCTCATATTGTTGATCTCTACAACACAAAGATGGAAGTATCTTAAATTATTTTTACTTCTTCAAAGGCTAGTGTACAAGTTTTTAGCTTATTTCATTATGAGTCTGAACTGTGGAACTTCACTAGCATCAGCTGAATCTCTAGTTTAATCAATTCATGTATTTCACAAAAGAGCCTAATTATTATGTAATGGCAGAGTTCCAGTGATTTATCAGTCCTCTAAATTGGCCAGCTTCTTCCTAAACACTTCCCAATAAAATACATTATACTAACATATACATTACCAGTTAAAAAGTACCATTAGAAAAGAAAAAAAAAATGGTTTTACAGGAAAATATGATCTGCTAAATCTAAATTAACAGGTTTTACTCAAAGACATTCCATTTCTTATGATCTTTTAGGATAGACTACAGAACACACTTCTAAGAAGATGATCTTTCTTGTACCTTTCTTCCTTGGCTTTAGAGAGCTCCTTGTATGTCTGCAACCACACTTGAGAATAAAAGCTTAGGTGCATCCTTCCCCCCAAAAAAAACCTGAAGAACAAAAAGAGAGAAAGGAAGAGCAAAACAAAAAAAAAAAACCAAAAACACACACAACCAAAGAGCACAAGGGAGCAAGAAGTACTTATATTCTTCAGTTCTTGCAATGTTCTGCTGCCTTCTATTACTGCAGCTGTAAAAGCAGCCAGGGAGCCAGATGGTAATGTTGATAACCCAGGGTCTCTTGCCAGCAGCTTCCTGCAGGTGCAGGAAGAGATTGGTCAAAGGCTAATGCAGTCTATTCATTAATGTCATGTTTTCCTGTACCTAACCCCAGTGACCTCAGAGTGGTGAACATCACAATTCCCTTGGGAAGCTTGTTGACCCAAGAGTCAGGCTTTTGTGGCTTCAATCTTAACACTTTTGTTTGTGGTTCTCAGCCTAAAGCACTTTAAAGTGCTATTCTCTACAGGCTTTTGAGCAAGCTGTGTGGCTTCCCATGGGTGTTGACACAGTCAAACTGGAATTCAATTTTGCACTAATATCAATTTGAAAAAGTCCTAGTTAACAAGAGGTTAAAAGTCTTTGTTGGCTTTAAAGGTTGCCATTTAGATACAGTCTCTGTACCTGAGCCTTCATCATATCATAGGAGCCCTAGATAATGCAGTTTGGAAGGCACTAAAGGACCCTTAGCTCTCAAAAAACAAGCATATTGTGCTGGTTTGGGTTTGGATTTTTTTTTTTAATTGATCAAGCTTTATCAGCATGAAGAGAGGGAACAGATCACAGTTCATGGAAACTTTGATTTCAGATCTTTAAAATGAACATGTTCAAAAATATTAACCAAAATGAAAAGTTTAAAACAATAAGTATAAATAGGAAAAGTTTATGAAGATTTCCAGTATATGTAATCTCCTTGGCCACAGAACAGGAACTAGGACAGGGTCATATATCTGTGTTGTAAATATTTCTTACAGAGAAAAATAACATCAGAGTTTCTCATACACAACTAAGCTACTTCTGAGATACATATACCTGTGTATAATAATTTTTTCCATGAGTGCTACCTGTGTAAGTTTAGTATACATAAGTAGATATACTAAAGTGTAAGTCATAGTACATCAAGACCTCTATGTTTCAGAAATATGGCGTTATAGTGCAAGTAAAAGCTGAAAAGTTGGTAATGAGTTAATCCTGTCTGCTTTATAAAATGTACTGCATGCTGCTTTCAGGTGGGTGCATGTACTTTAAGTAAATTACACTTCATGTTGCTTGAAAGTAATGAATGCTAATGATAGATAATGGTATTTTGTTTCCAATTAGCACTGCCAAGAGAGTCAGTGGTTTCTAGAGCTCATGATCACTATATTTTCCAGGAACAGTCTGAGAACTATAAAATTATATAAACAAGTATTACTTATGCTGGATGCATTTGCTGATTGCTTCCTTCTCAGTTGGCCATAATGCAAATGGAACTACATCTCTCTTGTAGTTCAGTAATTTTTAAAAAAAAACCTCATGTTTGTAAAGCCATTATCTATCACATATTTTTTATAAATATCACCCATTGTTTACTTTGCTGTAAAACAGAGGAAAATGTCTACTACTAAATTCATATAATAGATTATAGTGACTATTCAGAGAGCTTTAAAATAAAACAGATGTCTGGCCCACAAAATATGAGTTTAAGTCTGGTGTTTCATTGTAAGAAATAAGTTTTATTCACTTACATATTCTTCAAAACACTTTTCAATATGAGTTAGCAAGAAATTTGAAATGCCATTTTGGCTCAAATCTAAAAAAAAGATGTTATATATAAATAAAGTTGGAGGACTAAGATGACAATCATGTACTGTGCTATGAATTATGTATTTTCAGGAATGTGTTAAGTATTGTGCTCACAGACATCAAATACAATGTAACAAATTACTTCCTTTTTATAGTTGTAATACATATTGTTTCTTATTTTATTATTGTTTGTGTATTAACTTAGCATTCTGTTGATAGTCTATTTCAATTCAGAATGTTCACTGCAGGACTCTTATCTCACATCCTTATTATCTCTATTTCTCAAATAAAACTATACAAACCAATGATGTAGCAATTAATCTTTTTACCTGTTCTTGCA